ACGACAAAGCCCGGGGGCCAGATTTAGAAGGAATAATTGAATATAAGACATTTGAAGTGATGATAGAATTGGTGAAAGAGTCTAGTAGACAGCTGGCTATATGTGTTTGAAGCTGAAGAGTGAGGTCTATGCCGAGACATCCTTCATATAAAGACAGCTATATTGTGCTGTAGTTTGTATAGAGTCATAAAGAGATGTTATCATGTAAATGTAATTGTGGAACTGGACTGTGTTGTGTGGAATTAAAACAGTGTCTCAGATAATGTCTCCTCCCCTGCCAGTCCTTGTCCACTCATAACAAGAAGGGGATTTGGTATCATGGCAGAGAGTGGAGGGTCCCACACTGGAATCCACAGCCAGATGCCAATTGTCCCACTTTAAGAGCACTGACACTTGTATTAGAATCTGAGGTGTAGTTGTCAGTCTCTCTGTTCAAACTCTCTTCTTCTTCATCTGAATTCTGGGCATGATTACTACAACAGTTCTTGGACCTGACTCACCCAGGCCCTCAGCCCAGGCCTTTATCTATGGGCACTGACCCTTGGTTCACCTCTGCACCTCACCTGCTCATCCAATATGTCCTGCTACTCCAGACAGAGTTCAGAATTCCTCTAGTGGAATCTTGCCTCCCACCCACCTCCATTGTGACTGTGCCTGTACCCTGCCCTCACAATGGTGTAACAGGGCCCCGGCACTACAGGCTCTCAGTATCAAGACAGAAGCAACCAAGCAAAAGCCACATCTGGACAGGCTTTAGATCCTAAGAGACTATGGGTAAGACAAGAACACCGAGTCTGAGGCACATAATTGTGGATTGTGATCCTGGCCAGAGTCAAAAACCAGAGGACACCAACTCTTTCTCATAGTTATGTCTGGAATACTGGGTCTCTCTTGCTTCCTGAAGGAATTTGCTCATTCACTTATTCAGTCTGGCAGTATATATTCTCTAAGCAGGTATTTTGTGCCAATCTCTGTGCTACGATTAGAGATATGGATGAAAAGATAGGCCCCTACCTTGAGGAACTGATACACTAATGGAAACATGAGTGAACAGTCCATTATAATGCACTATACTGTGATAGAATTAGCACGAGGAGCTATGGAAAGCAAAAGAGGGGCCCAAACAGACAGGTGAAGGCTGGGACTTTTTGGTGGAGGGGACATTTCAGTTGAGCCTTTAAGTGAGAATAAGAGCCCTAGAGCTAAAGGTCCCACTCCAAGGAGGCTCACACAGGATTCTTGGCTAGAAGTTGAGGTACTCTCAGCACTCAGGAAGGATGTGAAAATCTGAGTGGGAGGTGCTGTCTGGTTCTCCTCTCACATTTAGGCAGCACCGCCCTTGCCTCGTGGTGAGACTGGCCGTGAAGCCAGACCATTTCAGATCCCACTACTGAACACAGGCTCTCAAGGGTTGTGGCCTCTCCCTAGTGCCTCCTCTCAGGGGTACTGAGCCTCACCTTCCTTTCCATGTCTCCCTTCTTAGCCTCACAACTTATTACTTTTGGTCTTTACCACCCATGACTTTGGACCTACCTCTTTCTCCCAACCCTTGGCCATAGGCAGCCCTTCGTAGGTTCAATAACACCAGAAACACAGAAGGAAAGTATAAAGGTACCACCCTGGAGAAGTGAGGGGAAGCCTTCCTCCTATGTCCTGGCACCAGGGCTGCCCAACCTCCTCCTCCTCTTCAGGTACCTTCAATAACTATGCTCCTTAGGAGCCAATCCCCATCATCTACTGTATGCCTAGCCAATCATCTTCCCTCACCGCAGACACTTCAAGGAAACAAGCAAAGTTGAGCTTTAATGTGGTGAGGGGAGGAAATGAGAATCCCAACAGAGAACTCAGCAAGACTCATGTTCATCTTCAAACAAAAGTTCATCTATAATCTCCCTGCTCAGAAATTGAAGACTATCTTTAGTCTCTCTGACAGTCTGACAGAGATGGAGTGTGGATCCTGGGGTGGGAAAAGAACTGCAGACATTTGTGGGGTGATGAGAAAACCTTGAGGAAAAAAGTCTAAAGGGGTAGAGGTGAGGACTCATGGGAGGAGATAAATTCACCTGGGTGGGATAGGTGAGAATACCTTGGGGGAGCTTAGGACTTTTTTCCTTCTCACTTTTCCTTATTACTCAATCCCTCCACACCTAGGTCTCTACATCGGCTGGCGCTGCCCCCATTACCTATGGGACTGTTTCCGGATTGGGAATGAGTCCAAGTGCTTTTGTGGTCACTTGCTGAGAGAGCACCAGGTCATCTCAGGTAGGGGACAACTGACCAGACCATCGAGTGTGGAGGGATAACTGTACTCCGTCATGTCTTGGGACATATGACAAAAAGTGTGTGTGTGTGTGTGTGTGTGTGTGTGTGTGTGTACATGGGAGGGTGGTAAGCACGGGAAGGCCAA